AATTTCCTGAGAGCATTTGACCCCAAACCCAATGAAATTCTTGATACGGTAATTTAGCCTTTACTATCTATCATTTATCTTTTTAACACTTCAATTTTATATTATAAAAATAATATAACGTTTTAGAAATTATGGGAAAAAAGAAGGAAAAAGCCATTATTGCATCATTTTAAAAACCCATTCTTTGGTGATTAGGAAACCCTCGTCAACAATAGTTTTTCCTAGTCATGATTCGTGAAAATACAGCTTTGTAATTGTGTTAGTTATCAGTTTATTACCAGTTAACCACAAATTCACCAATTCATTACATGCTCTGCAAAAACGGATCTTTAAATATGTTCCTTGAAAGATAGTGGGATGTTAAATTTTACCAGTGGAGGGCACTAAAGAGATATTGCAAGAAGAAAGAGTTTTCCTTCCTGGTCTAGTGTGATGGTGGCGTTCTGGTACTGGTTCTTGAAGTCCAAATAGCCTAACAGTGTGACTCTGACAGAAGATGAAGCTTCTTGAGTGCCCAGCCCCTAAAGTTTGGTCAGCAGCTCCCAGAGCCAGTAGCTTTGCTTCTTCTGTCCACCCCTCTCCTGTCATACCTCCATGTGATCAGTTTTGCTGGCACTGTAGAGGGCTTTTCTGGAACGTTCTGAAGGATGGATTTTCAGCAAGTCTGCAGGCGTAGGACCACAGCTTTTCCACCGCTCAGTGAACCGTGAGCATTGCCTTCTCCAACAAGTTCTCCATCTTAGCTCTGGGGGAGCCTCTTCCTTTATTTAATGTTCTAAAAGGATAGTGGCTGCCTCTGAAACCTATTATTCTTTTATTCTGTAGAGTTCTTTTGAATTCTTACTAGTTAATCTCTCATTAGTCTAATTCCCTCTTATCATCATGTTTTGTTTTGTTTTGGCTTTTGCTGTGCTTTGTGATTGTTAGGCAAATGCTCCAGTACTGAGCAGCAAGTCCAATCCAGTCCAATCCCAGTCAAGTAAATCTTTTAAAAAAGCAGGATCTTGCTCTGTAGTTCAGACTAGCCTCGAACTCATGGAGATTCCCCTGCTATAACCTCCTGAGTGCTGGGATTAAGGAATGCACTACCAAGCTCAGTGAATAAATCTTTACAGTAAACTTTTCCATTCAAATTACTCTGTGGTTTATCTCTTCTGATTGGAAACTGATACGATTTTTTTAATCAAAAGTTTTAAGTCCACAGTCATTTTATATACAATATTATTTTTATTTAGTAAAATTAAATTATCTATAATTTATATGCTCTCATTTACAAAGAAAATCCTATCTTATTAAATTTGCTTTTTAAAAATCACTTTTTATCCTCACTAATTTATCATTTTTTGTCTTCATGGTTAATTTATTTCATGTATCATTTAAAAATCGTTGCACTGTTGGCATGATGAAGATGTTCTCCCATATTTTCTTCTAAAAGTTGTGTTGTTTTATCTTTTATCTTAGATCCTCAGTACATTTGAAATCTTTTTTTTTCAGTATCCGGAATTGAACTCAGGACCTTGCACTTGCAAGGCAGGCACAGCACCACTGAGCTAAATTCCCAGCCTGGAATTTTATTTTTGTGTAAGAAGTGTGAGCAAGAGGTCCAGATTCATTTCTTTATAATTATGTGAAATATATAATCCTTATCAATATTAAAATGACTAATAAAAATTTTATAATCTCCCCCAGGTTTACTTAAAGCTATTGATAACTATAACTTCAATGCTTACTGTCTGTTGTTTTTGAAATTGTGTTTGATATTGTGTTTGCCTTTTTTGTTATTATTTCAGATGGGAGAATAAATCTGGTCTGTTTCTCCATCTTGGATTAAAGCAAAATCCAGCAATAATTCTTTAATACCTAGGTTTGGGTTTTTTTTTTTATAATTTGACTCCAGATTTGTAAATTACTTGGCCATACTACTATCTTTGGATGTGTAAATGTAATATATTGTCTTAGTTATGATGATTAGGGATTTAACATTTTTATGCCATTGACTTTCCTTCACTATATTTTCTCATTACAATAAGAGCATAATTTTTAAATTAAATAAGTAGTGACTATGTAAATACTGTTCACTCTTAAGCCAGTAGTATATTCTGTGTTAACCTGTCTTTTTATCATTTTTGGCACAATTGGTAGCCACTGAACAGAAAATAAAAGTTGAAGTGATACTCATTATGTACATCAGCAAAATCTTCAAATGAGTTTAAACTTTAAAGAAGTAAAACTATAAAAACACTAGAAGAAAAACGTGGGTAAATCCTATAACTCTGTGGTGGAGAAGGCCTTTCTAAAACTATAATCAGAAATCTCAAAGCCAAAAGACACAAAAACACTTCTACATTGTTGGTGGTGATATGAACTAATGCAGTCACTGTAGAAATCAGTATGGAGATTCCTCAGAAAAACTAAAACTCGAAATTCCATTTGAACCATCTATTCTCCTTCTAACTATCTTCTAAAAAAAAAGCTAAGACATCATATTAGTGATACATGTATTCCTATGTTTATAGTATCACAGTATTTATTATGGCTATATCTGAGAAACAGCCTACATGCCCAGTAAAAGATGAATGGATAAAGAAAATATGTGTTTATACACAGTGCAGTACTATTCTTCCATAAAGAAAGACATATTTGAGTCATTCTTAGGTAAATGGGTACACCTTGAAACTGTAATATTAAGTGAAATATATCATACACATTAAATATTGCATGATTTCTATGAGAAACCAAAATACAAATAAAAAGCAAAATACATAAATGATAGATAACAGGAAGTAGGGTGGTCTTTTTCAAATGGGAAGGGAACCATATGGAAGGTGGGGGGAGAGATGAATAATGAAATGAAAGAAATGGAAAATAAAATGAAGCTAGAGCTTTTACAAAAGGAAAAGGGACTATGAGATGGAAGGAGCTGGGAGGGATGAAGGGATAGGAGATGAAAAAAGAATTAAGAGGTGTTATATAATGTACCAGCTCCACCAATAAGTGTAATTATTATGTACTACAAACATAGTAATAAAAATTAAAATTAAAAAAATCCATAGCAAAAGATGTCATAAGTGAAATGAAAAGTTTGCAGCTTATACATAGGGCTATATAAAAGAGTTCCTTCTTCATGTAGAAGAAAAATCAGTACAGAAACATGAATGAATATTAATTCATAGGAAAAGAAGTACAAATAGTCCTTACACATGTAAAATGATCCCTATCTTCACTCATAAGAGAGGATAATCCATCCATATTTTCTTTTAATACTTTTGACCAATAAATGTATTTACTTTGGTGTGGTAGTCTCACTTTTGGAAATTTATTTTACAGGTGAAATTACACACACACGTATGACATGCACATTTAGTAGTCCCTCATTATTTCTCATTATTTGTGGGAGACTGGTTACAGGACCGACTCCTGGTAGATACTTAAGTCTGCATATGTGTAAATCTATTATATTAACTGGCATAATTGTGCTCGCTTTGGCAACACATATACTAACTGGCATAATTGCATATAACTTATGAACATTCTGTTGTCTACTTTAAATTATGTCTAGACTACTTTTATTACCTTATATAATATAGATACTTTGTAAATAGTTGTACTGTATTGCTTAAGGAATAATGACCAAAAAATCTGCATATTTAGTGCAAACATAATTTTTTTAAAAACATGTTTTAATCCATGTTTGGTTTGAATCCAGCAATTTAGAATCCACAGATATGGGAGACCAACTTTGTTTATATGGTTACTCATTACAGTTATAGTAAGAACTGGAAATAACCTAAATATTCAATAATAGAGACCCATCTTACCAAACTTCTTGTACAGATTTTCTAATATTTCAATCAAATGCCTACCAATATCTTGTTTATTTGTTTGTTTGGTTGGTTGGTTGGCTTTTGGTTTTTTTGAAACAGGGCCTCACTATCTATGTAGTTCAGGCTGGCCTCAAACGCATGTTGATCCTCCTGCCTTGGCCCCCAAGTCCTGGGGATACAGGCATGCACCACCACATCAAGCTTGTCTAAATTTTTAACTGATCTTTTTCTTCTTGGAAATTTCCTGCAGTTCATGTTTATCCTGCTGGACTGAATGGTCTCTGGTCCCTTTGTATAGTAAAAATATGTTTGGCCTTTACTCTTTCCTGTGTTTTAACCCCTGTTTCTTAATTCTCATGTCATTTTTCTCATGGTTAACTTACTTTGGTTTTGCTTTCTAAATTCTCTAGATGATTCTGGAGAAAACATTGTTAAGTATATTTTTTCACCCCTTGACTGAAGATGTTTTACTCCACCCTCTCAATTAATTGATTGTCTTGATATTAGCAGCCTGTGTTGAAAATCACTTGAAATTACTGTGTCACTTTATTTTACCCTCAAATTTATAAAATACTGGTTAGCCTTTTCTTTTCCCATCTTGTGTACTTATTTTTGGTACTGGGGTTTTTGTTATCCTTTATTATTTATGTTTTGAGTTTTGTTTTTGTAAAGATGGAAGCAAAGTTCAGATAATACATTGCCTTTCATAATTTACTGGAAACTAAAAACATTATCAGAAAAATGAAATTTAAAAAAGACATGCAGAATACAAACTCCTGTTTGTTGCTTTTCAATTCCATAGACAAGATAGCTGAGTTCTATATGTGTCTTGTCATGGACTATGGACCACTCTTGGTGTAGGATTGGTGTGGTGTTCCCCAACTCATTATTGCTTTATCTCTGGAGTCCTTTCTCCGATTTTCTTCTCGCTTGCTTTTAGAATTTAGAATTTTTTTATTGGGTTTACTGTGGAAAATTCTTATTTTCATTTATCAGAAAGCATCTTTATTTTACATGGATTCTTGTAAGACATTTTAGCTGAGTGTAGAATTATTTTTCTTCAGCACCCTGACATCATCTGAGAAGATTCCTATTTAATTATTAAGTTCTAAATGAATGGATTTTTACTTAAAGTGTTACTGATTAATTTAAACATATTTTGTTTTTCTCCTAAAGGGAATACAGTCAGTAATCTGATTATGATCATACCTCCAATTTTTGGTGCAATTCAGAGTGTTAGAGATGGACTGGAAAAGCGGTATGTTGCAGCTTACTTAGCACTCACAGGTATGTATAATGCTTCATCTGAAAACATAATGTTCAGGTGGGCTGTTTTTCTCATTTGTTTCTAAAAGTAGATCTCAATATTTTATTGTTTATTATACAACTTGAACATATTTTGAAACTTCAGAGCTAAAATGCCACAAATTGTGCCAGTGATTTGAACTGTGCTTTGAATAAGGTTTTGTTTTTGTTTTTTTTTTTAATTAGAAAATACTGAGCTGGGCATAGTGGTGCAGGCCTGTAATCCCAGCACTTTGGGAGGCTGAGGCAGGAAGATTGCAACTTTGAGCACAGCCTGGACAACATACCAGTACCCTATATCAAAAATAAGAGATGAAGGGATTGGGATGTAGCTCAGTGAGAAGATGCTGGATTCAATCCCCAGTACCACACAAATACACACACAATTAAGCATATAGAAAAGAAGTAATACGAAAAGGTACCCACACATCTTAGCACCCAGATTTGTCAGACCTTAACAGTTTGTAATACAGTATTTATTTTAGATCTTAACTTTCTGTTTTAAGAAAATAATATACTGCTGCAGATAAAACTGAAACTCCCTTTATATCTCTGCCTGATTTTATCCCCTTCAGCCTCACAGCTACCCCTATGCAAGAGGTAACCTCTATTCTAAATTTAAATTTGATCCCTATAATTTTCTCACATGATTTTGTTTATACTGCACATTTTATACACACACACACACACACACACACATATGTATATATGGATGTGATGTGTATGTATATATATATATGTGTGTGTGTGTATATATATAAATGGAAGAAATAATATATGGTATATAGTATGATTTTACATGGTTTAACAATTTTGGAGGAGATACCATACCCTGTCGAATCTTTTATAACTTGCTCATATTTCTGTACTAGTCTGTGAAGTAGGGGCTATCCTGTTTGTATTCCTGTGATCTGGCAATTTAGTCGTCCTCAATAAATAGTGGATGAATGATGAGTCAACTATCAGAGGCTAAGGTGGGGAAATTACTTCTGTTATGTTCTTGTATCATTGTGATAAAGAGCCCAAAAAAAGTAGATTCTAGTTTATTTATTTTGTTTTTTGTTTTGTTTTGAGACAGGGTCTCACTATGTAGTTGAGACTGCCCTGGAACTGACTATGTAGCCTAGGCTGGTCTCAAACTCACAGCGATCCTTCTGCCTCAGCTTCCCAAGTGCTGGGATTACAGGCATATGCCACCACACCCGGCTATAGTTTGATTATTTTAATATAACTCTCTAAACATTATTTTATATTATTCTAAGCACAATTTCTTTTGTTTTAGCTCATTTTGAGTTTTATTTATACATGGGCAGAAAGGACTTCTAATTACCACAAAGGGTAAGCTATAGTATATCGTGTCAGGTTTGACCATAATTACATTAATCATTGGATATAAGATACTTCTAAATCTGTTACTGATATGCATTAACTTTTAAGAAAGGTACTTGATTTATCTCAAGAAGGACATCCATAACCTTCACCCTTTTCCTTATATTTTGAGTGTTTTAAGGATGTTTATAAAATATGGACAAATAACAATCGGTAACAATAATAAAAAGATTCAAGGACTTCCAGATTGCCTTTGGATAGTTGTAGTCTCTTGATTTGGAATGTGTTTATTCATTCTCCCAGAAAACCACACGTATTAAGAAAGGAAACAAATAAAATTACATATAACCCACACTTTTAGCCTTTTTAAGAGAAAGAGAATAAAATCATATACCATATACCAAGATTTTAGTTGATAATGAACCACATATACTATAGTGATCCCATAAAATTATAAAAGAGCTGAAAAATTCTTAGCATCTAGTAATACAGACTGCTCACGTTTGTGATGATGTTAATGTAAACAAACCTGTACTGCCAGTACAGTTATAAAAGTATAACTGTATAACATTTATGTACAGTATAAAATATTCTCCTAAGTTACTTAATATCAAGCATACATTCTGAGAAATGTAGTTAGGCAGTTTTACTGTTGTACAAGCATCAGTATGGTACTTTCTTATACAATTCAAGACAGCTACATGTCAGTAGGCAATGTAATCTTATAGTACCACTATCATATATGTGGTCTGTGTTTAAACAAAACATTGTTATGTGACACATGGCTGTATTCATTATTTATAATAGATGACTATGTCACTAGTGTACTGTACTATACATATTATTTTAGAGAGTCAACCTTATAATATATAAACTATATATTATACATAAATAATTATATCTAATAATTTATGTATAATGTATGCAAAATTATACACACACACACACACACACACAAACGTTAATTGTAAAAAAAAGCCTCAGGCAGATTATTGCCCCTGAAGACCAAGGATAAAGTGTAGAGATGAAAGATGGTGATATTTATGATTCTGAACTTTTGTGAGCCTATGTGGATTTGTATGTTTGTGTCTTCTTTTTTTTTTTAAGTACCAGGGATCGAACTCAGGTCCTTGTGTCTGTGAAGTGGGCCCACAGAGCTAAATCACCAGCCCCTGTGTCTTCATTTTTAACAAAAGTTTTAAAGGAGCTATGCATGTGGTGGTATACATCTGTAACCTCAGCAAGAGGATTTTTGCATTCAAACCCAGCCTGGGCAGCTTAGCAACTTAGTGAAACCCTATCTCAAAATAAGAAGGGCTGAGGATTAGCTCATTGTGAATCCCTGGACTTGATCCCTAGTACAACCAAACATATTTTAAGAAACAAATGTTAAAATAGAAAAAGTTTATAAAGGTATAAAAAAGAAAATATTTTTGAACATCTCTGCAATGTGTGTTTTAAGCTAAGTGTTATTACAATAGAGTTGAAAAGTTTGAAAAAAATTTTAAAGTTTATAAAGTAAAATATTAAAGTAGGTAAATTATGGAAGAAAGAAAATTATTTTCTATAAATTTAGAATTGCCAAGTGTACAGTGTTTATAAAGTGATGTATTCTATCTTCACATTTAACATTTGCTTACTACTCATTATTCACCCAGAGCAAAGGTAAGAACCATGTATGAGTATACCCTTTTTATGTTATTTTTTCCCCTGGTATTGGTGATTAAACTGAGGATCTTGCACATGCTTTTAAATAATCTTTTTTTTTACACCACTGTATCCATGTATTTACAGTTGCCTGCAGCATTCCATATAGGTTTGTAGTCTTGGAGCTGCAGGTTATATTTTGTAGCCTAGATGTGTAGTAGGCTGTGCTATCTAGTTTTGTGTAAGTATATTCTGTGATTTCTGAACAATAATGTCCAAACAATACTTTTCTCAGAACATGTCTCTGTTGTTAAGCAATATGTCATTGTATTGATAAACTTCCAATTTGTAAAAATAGGAAATAAATACCAAATTCCAGTAGAACTGTCTTTGGTATTTCAGACTTAGGGAAGTTTAGAAAATGATGGAAAGTAGAATAGCGGAGTTGTCTACTTTAATGGGTCTAAGTCTGACAAAAACACCAGTAGAAAGACAGTGTCCCACAATAAATGCAAACTCTAAAGAAAGCTAAGATCTGGTAGAAATCACAGTACTTACTAAAGATAAAGACTTAGAAGTGTACATGACCTTAAATGGCAGTTTGGGGAAGGCATCTATTCTAGAAAGAGATAAGTAGAAAGGAGAAGGTGTCTTTTGGAGTTACATGGGTGAAGGGAAGGAAAGAAGATACAGGAGAGAAAGTTCCTTCTGAAACAGAATTACAAGTGGCTGTACAATTCAGTGGTAGAATTACAGGAAGCTCTAGTTTTAATCCCCAATATCATTTAAAAAAGGACAAAAACATAAATCTCTTCTCTCATTCCTCTCAAAAATAAAAATTACACATGTGCATACAAACATACACATACATATAAAACTTTAGTTTCTGACCAAAGGGTATAGTCTTGAACTAGGAGTCTTGTAAGGTACCAACAAAATCTTTACTATATAAAATAGACCTTCCTCTCACCAAAAAAAAAAAGTCTTTCCATACAAAATTGTCATTAAAAGAAACCATGTTCATCTGATGGAGGTTTTTCCTCATAAATAACTATAAAACAGGAGACTGCAGCAAAATCCTAACTCAATCGAATGCCTCAAAGAAATAAAGAAAAAAATTAAAAGCTAAAATACATGTGATTGACATCCTCAAGATAGTAGAATAAGAGATCACCCACTTATATTTTCCCACAACACAAGGATTCTACTTTCAAACCTAAATAAAAAGTCTATTTGTGGTAGCCTCAGGGTTCCATTTGGAAGTTGCAGAATCTTGGTGGAGCCCAAAACCTAGGAGGGTTGTTTTGAAAGTACAAATACTATACTGTAGTAATGGTGGGATAGGGTATCTTTAGTATGAAGGGTAAATGACAAAGCCATTAAAATAATAACTAATAACTGTGTAAGTTATAAAATGATACAAATTGTGACATCAAAAATTGAAATATAGGAGAAAAGTTAAAGTATAAAGGATTAATGTTATTTCTTTTTATCCTATCAAACTAAGTGTTTATTACTGGTATGTCTATAAGATGTTCTTGGTAAGCCTCATGGTAACTACAAAGCATAAACCTGTAATTAATATACCAAAAATGAAGGATAAGGAATCAAAACACAGTGCTAAAGAAAAATCACTTCCACAAAGACAGTAAGAAGGGGCGTTGGTGGTATAGTGGTTAGCATATCTGCCTTCCACAAAGACAGTAAGAGTAGAAAGAATATATAACAAAAATGAGAAGATATAACAAAAACGCAGTAGTAAATCCTTACCTGTCAATAATTATATTAAATATAAATGAATTAAATTATCCAATTAAAAACATAGTGAATTAAAGACATCATATTACAGTGATATATGAATGCCCGTGTTTATAATAGAAAACTCACAGTAGCTAAATCTTGGAAGTGGCCTATATGTCCATCAGCATATGAATAGATAAAATATTATACAGAATGGGGTACTGCTCTGGCATAAAGAAGGATAAATTTGATCATTTGTAAAAGAA